TCGTTGTTTTATTATTTGTCATCACCGAATGTGTTGGTGCTCACTGATTATTGTATGAATCTTAACGTTCTTCTTTTTCTTAACGAGATTTATTGTATTTAAATTTGTAGAAATCACTATATATATATATATACATATATATTTCCATATTGGAAAGGAAAAACATGTAGTTGTTTAAGCGTATAGTTGTATGTGCTGTAATGTTGATGGTAATATGTCATGCTATGATATGTTCTGTAGTAATAAAAAGCACTGAAATCCTGGTCCATAGCTCTTTACCTAGGGAGTACCGTATCTTTCATATCTGGTTCACATCTCTATCATCGATTACTTGTACAAGTTCTGATTAATCAATGAATATCATATCTCACTTGATTTGGATTTCTACGTCAGCTTTGTCTCCATACTGTACTGTACTGTTTTGGTGTTGATTTACTAATAATCCAGCATAGTACAATCGTGTTCATATGGTAAAAGGATAAAGTATAAAGCTGTGGGCGTTGGTCAATGCCTGAGGGATGCGCCATGCATTAGACTTTATTAGGCATCATTGGAGAGTGAAAGCATATCTGGACTTTACAATGACTCGCGGTAGCCTATCGTTGTGTCGAACCAATGCTGCTATCCTCTCAGCCAAGTCTGGTACCAATTTGCCGACCCCGAAGAGATGGAGGGCTTCGTGAGCTTTGGATGCGGGGATCGATCCCTTGAGTATTGCACCGCGCTTTCCGACCAATGAGCTACACGCGCCTTTGTTAATATGGTAGGCTGTTATAATAAATCGCTAAAGTCATGAGGACAGAAGTTTAAGTAGGTCTGTCTGTTCACTGTTCATCCACAAAAACCATTCAAGACAATCAATCACAAGTTGAAACATGTCGTTGTTATGGTAGAGGTATGAAGGGGATCTCCTTACATATATGGCCAATTTGGATGGTATCATGTATAAACGCGAGATTTTGTGGTGTTATCTTTCAATAACAGAATTGAACATGGCTTTGCATCGCCGAGTGCTTTTCATTCATTGTTCGTGTACAACACCGTGTAGTGCACATGTGCTGGAAACTTAAGGTAAGTATATTTAAGGTAATTATAGTACATTTCTATGATGGCAGTCGAATTCGGATGTGCGGCCTACACATTTCTTTTTTTTTTATTTTACACAACCCGTCTACACATCTGTCGAGTGGAAGGATCCCAGCATTCCTTGCCTTTGTTTCGTTTCGTCGCATCCATCGTCCACGATGGTCTTTGATCGCGTGCTGCTCGAGGTCTATCCTGTTCCTTAGGAATATTTGCTCGATCTAGTCGATCGTCTTGAGAATTGTGATAGCCGTGCTAGCATGCCGCTAGGATCGGAGGGAGTGAGCACATCCCATCCTCAGACAAGTCCGGCACCAATTTCCCGACTCCAGGGGGATGGAGGGTCTGGTGAGGCTGATGCTCGAGGATCGATCCCATGTGTATTGCAAGGCGGCGCTGACCACCACGCTACACGCGAGCATTCTGATGACAGTTGGTATAATAATCACTGGTTTACTAACGTCCAGTCCTTGATTGCACACGACGACTCTAAGGATCGCACCACCATTGGACTCCGTATTCCAAGCAATGCAGCATTCCGGTCTTGTAGCGCCCCTTGAAGGGCGGAGGGAGAGAGCTTGGCGTGCGGCGGCCTCTCTGCGAGCGCGAAAGCCGCCCTTTTGAATTGCTATGTGCTGGCATGGTGCCAACTCCTTAGTGGATGCGTTACAAGATCTGTTTTCTTCCACAAGTCTTGGACTGTACTTGTTATTTATGATGTATTATCACATATTATCAAGGTTGTAAGGTATTGTGAGGTACTGAACTGACTGATCTGTGATATTTTCCTTATCACCAGTTCTCTTGACTGATTGCACTTCATTCTTTGAGGATTCCAGCACTAGCGTGGTTCAGATCACTGTAGTTTCGTACTATCATAAATCAGGCGGAAAATTGAAGCAAATGTGCTCTATGCCTGTCCGGTCGTCTTACTTTTGTCTGAACTTTTCGTTTCTTGTACGTTTACCTTTTCCAACTTCATCGTGGCTGAGCACGTTGCACTATATACACTTTATTTGTTTCTGCAAGCCCTACGATGAGTTTTCACTATGCAATGATTTCATAAAGGTGATTTAGAGGATGACGTACAGAGTGGCGATAGTTCGGGGTGTGTCATCACATGTGGCTCACACTTGCAGCACCTATTGTTTCCGGAAAAACCGCTCATTTCATCATACGTGCGTCACGCGTCATATGAAACTGCCTCCTCTACTGTTCCAGTTTCCATCCTGCTGAGTTTTGCATTCCTGTTCTGATTTTTGCTAAGTACACTTTTACTGAGCATACAACTAAATGTATGACTGTAATTTCCGTAATTCTAACAAAATCGTACTCCGTAGTAAGCGCAGTGGTTAGTGGTGCAGTTCATCAGAAATCGAGGTGCCGCTTCGACGCTCTCGCCAACGCTCTCCTCCAATCCCAGCCAAAACACCTTAGCTCGGCTATCTCCAAGATTGCCAGGAAAATCAACTCGGCCAGCATTATATGACATTCGTAAAGAAGGCGAAGTGGTCCACAGCAACCGATAGAACACCGGAAATGCTCGACGACCTTTGTGCACAATAAATGCGAGGAAAACGAATTGATTACGAAGTGGAAACGAATTGCTGGGATCCGCACAGAAAAGGTGATGACGGGTCATTTAAAATAGGTAAAATAGAACACGCCAAGCTACAAAACGATCACCTATCCGTTGGGCAAGGAGTATCTGGATGCCTCGTGAAGGTTGAACATCGATTAAAGATACCGAGGATGATGCACAGTTCTAGGCCCAAACGATATGGCTGCGAACTTTTTTGTTTCGGAAATCACGAACTATACGTATTTATCGCAACCAACATGATATGATGTCTTCAGAGAAGAAAATCATACCGTAATATAGACTGGTGCAAAGTCAAGCTAAGTAGGGTAGGTACATGTAGAGATTTTCCGTTTGACATTAGTGTTGGGTGCGCTCTTTAAAGCATTCGTGTAGAATTATCCTATCGCAAATATCAGTGATTTTCTATGGAATTCAGATGCTTTAGTGAGCATATTTCTGTATCAATTTTATTGCATAGATCGCTTCCGTAGAGCGACTACGTTTGTAGAAGTCTGTCGGTAGTAACAACTGTCTGATTTAAAGTTTATCGTTTATGAAAAATCCTTTGATAGGGGGACAACTGGAGAACCAAATGAGCTATTCACATTACTACGGGGGAAAATTTGAGTTGGATGATTTTATGAATAGTGATGGCATATTCTACATGTGTTTGAAGTTTTCAGTGATCAAGGTGAAATGGTGGGATTGTGTGGGAGTAGATCAGCATGGTCATCCTTAAAATCTCCTAGAGGAGCCACCCATGCACCATCTACAGAGCACTTGAGCGATGTATTTTGAGAATAGTCCCAGGAGCGATATATTTGGCTACAGGACTCGGACCTACGAAAATGGCTTTTCATTCTAAATCCAGGAGGGTAAACCTTTAATGCGAGGCAAAGGTGAGCAGTTCATCTTATGAGAAGAGATGACAACTAATAGACGAGTGGAATAGAGTGGAACTGAAGCGCACTTTTTGGATGTCCACAAGATAGCTGAGTGTATCACGTCGGCTGGGTTTATTTGCAGCTGCAAACGAGTATTGGGTGACAAAATAGTAGTTCTAACTGTGGTGGATAATAAAATCACTCATTTGAGACGAAAAGAGTTTATGTATTGGGAAGGAATTCCTACAAAATTTTCGTTTCGCGGATGATGTCATTTTTCGAGGAGTACCAATGAAGCAGAGCCGATGCTCAAGGAATTCACCGAAGCGAGAAAAAGGATTTGACTGCGCATAAATAGGACGGACACCCAGTTTAAGATGGACCCATGGTGCGAAGGTGAACAGATAGAACTGGGTGGTCCTTTGATTACGGAAACCACTTCGTACGTGTACCATGAGCGTTCACTGACAATGGAAAACAACATGAATGAGGAACAAGGTAGAAGAATGAGAGCAGGATGGGTATTTGAGCCACTAAGAGGAGCTATCTACGAACTAACGGATCTGGAACTCTGCGCCCACCTTTTTGATTCAACAATCCTCTCAGCGCTTTTTATGCAGCAGAGATATGAGCTAATACTTCAACCACGTAAAGGAATCTGCACGCCATCGACAGAGTATTGCATGATTTCTTCTGAAAGTTAGTAAGCACTCATAACGTATAGCTGGGATGCGCAACTAAGATCTTTGGAACCTGATATTTCACATAACTACGAAGAACAGTGGAAACGAAATTGAGGAGCAGCTAATGGTCGCTGTGTTTCGCGTATAGCTTTGTTTCAGTTATAGACAAAGTGTAAAGAAGGTGCTTAAAGTCTGTCATTCTCAAAGATTTCATAACTTTTTCCGTCCTGGTGAGCGAAGTTTGAAACCCGAAGTGGGGTACATCATGAAATGTTTTTATAACGGCTATGGTATTGCTGAAAGCTAAATCCTAGCAGTATGCATTGAAGAGTTACTTTACTTTGAATCTGATTGACTTTCTGTTGGAAAAATGTTATGGCGGCAACATTGGCGCAAATTCTGAACCAAGACTTCTTTAACACCTGCCTTATGACGATTGTCGTGAGGTTTGGATAATTCAACACAGTGAAAAGCAAGCGGATGGTGTTTTTGAGTATTTCACGACTTTGTTTTACAGCCGTTCGTAGAAATATCAGCGACTTAAGAAGAATCCAGCCTCTTCCATGTAAGGAGCAGCTTGTGCCTTTAGTTTTTCTTCCACTATGGAAAAGTTCATTTTCAATTACCATTCCCAATCCTTGCATCTCTTCATAAATTTGTCACGGTTTCGATCTCCTAAATTGCTTCGCTGTCTTCACATTGGCGTTGAAATCGACACGTATCAGCTGACTTACAGGTGCGAGTTTATATGTGAAGTTCAGGAACGATATGGATAGTCAAGGACTTTCGCCTCGAGAGGGATTGACAAGTGAGACGGTCGAAGACGATGCGGGTCAGGCCGCACTGCCACTGTCCAGAGTTCGAACAATCATCGGTACCGTTCCCGATGCTCTGCCACTTTCTGCCGAGGCGTTGTTCTGTATCGCTAAGGGTGCCGAGTTGTTCATGGAGAATCTGGTGAAGAACGTCGCGAGACAATATGGCGACCATATCGACTACGACGAGGTCGCTGAATACGTGTTGGAGAACGACGAGCTGGAATACATGCATGATTTCTTCCCCAGGCGCCAAACTTATGAGATGGCTCTGAATCATTCGAGAGCTAGAGAGGAAGAGTAGCATTCGTTTCACTTTGGCTTGGTATTTTGCTTCCTTGTTCTGTTTATTTTGTTGTGTTGATTTTCCTTTTAAATCCGGCAAGTGTTTCCCAGTGATCCAAACCTGTATGAAGTGCTTAAGAGCAATGTTTCTCAATTCGTCATTATTGAATAAACGTTTGCACAGATTTCTATGCTGAAGAGAACTGTCGTCGACCGGAATAATATCTTTGGGATACGTTGATCGCATCTGTTTTCTTTTGCACTAATGATCTTCAGTCTTGTTACAAATATGATTTGTATAAGCTTCCGTTAAATCTTGTCCATCGCTAAAAGTGAGACGTACCATTGACTCTCGGACCACATGCTTGGCTTGATCATCGTTCAGTCGAACTACTGCTAAGCAATGGCCTCGGCCGTGTAGCTAAGGTTTCATGATAAGTGATTTGTGAAGAGGACTTGTTACAATATGTATTGTTATGCCCTAAAACATATTCCAGTTTCTCCTTTCTCAATTTATAGAGCGGTGGTTCAACAGTTAATCCAATTAATCATTAGGTAGTCCGCTCGAAAGGTCTGATTAAGTGCATTGTTGTACTACATGTGTGTAATAACGGATGAATGTTATTTTTGCTGCGGGATCCGAACGGTTCACCAAACATCTGGGATTCCTAGTTGTTCATGTGAATAACGTTGGTGGATGAGCAGCAGCTTGATAATAACGAGAACAAAGTACTTGTGTAGTTCTCCATTGTTGTCTTAGGTCCAGGGGTTTTATAACGAAATACAACAGCACTGGTCTATCACTTCTCACTCTTACACGCTCTTGGCAGAATTGGAAAATAATTAATATTGGTCAGTTTAGTGTTGATAGAGTTACGTAAGTGGTCGTATTTATCGATTCTTCGTCTTCGTCTATTGCCATAATCATGTGTGGTATTCTTTCAGAGCTGTGTCAATTGTATATTATGGGCTACTCCAAAACCGAAAGGAATGGTAAGTACGAGAACGTTTTCAGCTTTTTAAATCGGAAGTGTGGGATTTTGAAAATGCATTTTATAAATTTTATGGTATTGTTCTTAGTTCCTTCTGAGTATTTATGTTTCGTTGAGTCATTTTACCAAGTTTCTACTTTCCAGACTGATTTCGAAGTGTGCAGTGTGACTCTGCGTACGACACGAGTTCCTTCAATGGTTCGAACAAGCTGTGGACCAGCAGGGAGTGTTCATCGCTTAGGCAATGTGAGTTGTCCTTTAGGTTTACTAAGTGTTAGGGAATGACCGTTTATATCATATAGAAGTATTCTATCCAAATACTTCCCATTTCGCATTATGTTACTCAAATCTGTCATCCATGCATTAGCGGGAAGCAATAATTTGTGGCGCGTTGTGGGCTCGGGGCAGTGGTATTCTTATCTAACGCGAAACGCTCTAGAATCATTGAGTACAGCGCATGTGGGACAAAAATAACTGCTTTGGTCCAGTGTTTCTAGTTTGTTGATGGAAATAAAAAAGCATTGGAATCTACCGAGGTCATTATACGGCATACGGTTACTTCCGTACAAGAACATGCAATACAACAGCAGCTGACGTTTCGGAAGCATTGCCTTCTTCAGGGCCGTTTTTACATGCTTTCCACTAAAGGCTCTGAGGAAAGCGATATTGCCGAGACACAGCTAATGTTTGTTTTTTATTCTATCTGTTTTGTACCTAAGCTTTCAACTTATCAAATGGTCTAGTCGAAAAATTATCATGGGTTATTGGACAACCAGGCTGGGATGTAATATACTAATATGTGTTTGTATAACGTATCACTTACGACAAGTTAACGTATGCTTCTAATCTAATACATTTCATTTAATTTCGTGTCCGTCATACATTGTATTCTCGTCAATTCGTTTTCCGGAGTTCCAGGTCTATTCTGTTGATATTGTTCTGGAAATGTTCATCGAAGAAGGAAACCACCGTGGTAGCACAAAGGTTAAGTTGGAACAGGTTCCAGCGTATGTTTATGGACATGTTTTGATATAATGTATATTTAAATGAGTTGATATAACAAATATGTCGGCGTTGCTTCTTGAAGTTGATATACGTGAACCGAAATGAACGAAGAAAGATGAAATAAATGGACTAAGTGAAACAAAACCATTAGAAACTACAAGTCTTACCCAATAAGATTCGAACTTTCTCATTCTACCATTGGGAAATTCCAGTCGTGTAGAGTTTGGATGTATTTCGTTTTCGCTCTTTTTTTTTGTTGAAAATGACTGACGAAGCTATTAGGCAAACGGGTTTTTTTCCAGAAGGGCTTGACTATATCCGGAAATGTGTTGTTGATGTCTGAGTCGCAAACTTATATTAGAAGTTTTAATTTATTTTTACTGTCTATTCTTTCTTCGTGGCATGGGAGCCCACATAGGTTGCGTGGCTATACTCATATCTCAGTGTTCTTGTGGTTGTCTTAGAGACTTCTGAAATTATTATTGAAATTGAAAATGAAAAAAAAGTGGAAAAGAAACCTTGTTTTGAATTGTTCGAAGTTTTCAGTTCTAAACAACCTTTGAAGTGAAATAATGTGGTTTTTTTTCCAAAATTTATATTTGACCTTAGAGAGATAGAGTAAAGTATCGTAATTTATGAAGAGTATATATTTACTTCATTAAAAGCTGGGAATGAAAGTGTAAGTGAATAACTGGCAAGTAATTGTGATGAGTCTTTTGTAGGTTCTTAGTCAACGCGTTCAACTTCATCAACATTCATGGAATGGAGATGGAAGGATTGTTCCGTCGAGAAGGCAATATAATTCGCTTGAACCAAAATAATTATGTAGGTTGTTTTGCATGGCTTTTTCAGTTTTCCGTCTTTATCACAACGTCTTTATGTTTAGGATATTTATGCGGGTGCAGCTCCCATTCCCTCCTCAGACTTTACCGTCCATGACGTGTGCTCGATGGTAAAGCGGTTTTTCCGTGATCTAAAGGAGCCTTTGTTGTCGCACCCATTGCTTCGTGAGAACCTAATGAATCTTGCGAAGAAAAGCGATACTAAAGAGGTATTTTTCTTCTGCTTAGATTTTTTTCGAGGTTGTTTTTGTTTGAACTAAGTTTAGATAACGAGACAGGAATTCTGTACCGTTTTTGAGCCGGGTTTTGAAGTGGCCAAGAAGGGTATCGATCACTCTTTGCCACCAGCTTTCAAGGGTACCCTTGGCTATTTGATGAGGCAATTGCATCGGGTTGGTGTTTCGATTGTGTTAATTGTCTAGATATTTTTAATCTAAAAGTGTTTCTAATTGATTTCGTTCCAGATTTCTGGTCATTCTGCTAAGCACCAGATGGATGCGAAAAACTTGGCTACAGTTTTCGCGCCAACCTTGTTCCGAGATGAATGTGTTAAGCAAAAATGGAAACGAAAAGAACGACGTGAAACGCAGGTGCATAAAACTTTGTCTAAATCCACTTAGAACATCTGTGGAAACGTGGTTAAAATAGTTTTTTGGAATACAACGGCAAGGATGCTGAGATATAAGCAAGACTAAGAATGCTCATTGTATTTCGAAACCGTAATTTCCTTCCCAGGTGGACGCATGCTCAAATGCCTATTCCCATCGATGGGTAATTGCTGATAGCACTGTTAGAGTTTAAAAAAAACTACTTTGAGAAAGGTAGAACAAGGACCTCAGTTAGTGTGCTGGATAGCACGTGAATCACGGGAAAAGATAATCGCGGGTTCGGAGCCCAATAGAGGTTCCTTGTTTTGTTTATGTTTCAGCAACCTTGTAGTTGTGCTTCACATATTCAATCATACAAAAGGAATAGGTCGTAGATAAAGTACAACGTTGTTACTTTTTTCTTGTAAAAGTTTTTCAACTTACTTCCATATAAATATGACTAGTAAGATCATGTCCAGGAATCTACTTTTCGCAGCCAATAGCCAACTCTACTGTTCCAATTCATTCTGTCTTCAGCTAACCGTTTTCAGTGTATTCCGTTGTTTTTCATTTATTAACAGACGTGTTTGAAATACACAGCGATCTGAGTTGTCCATAGCCTGGCGTTCGTGACCGATCAAATGCGTGTTCTCTGCAACGACGATTATTTCAGTACAAAAAGGATTTAGCTGAGCAGATTAATGACTTTGGTTGCTCTTTAAGCGTTATTATTCGTTCTGATGTTCTGGCACATGAGAGATTCGCACATGTGATCTCTTCAGGAACTGCAATAACCAGTACATCTTTATCTTTCTTAAAGTGGACGAAAACCAGCTTCGAAACGAATTCAAATGTGCTAACGACTTTTTGACATATCCTAGATAGGATGCGCAATAATGTCTTATGTTCAGCGCGTATTTGCTTAATCTGGATACACATGTTCTCATGCAACTGTTGTTTTGGTATTTTCTCATTGCCTTTCAGGATGATTTCTTATTATCACTTCGTGAAGATACCAAATTGCAAATCACGGCAATACGTTTGTTGATTGAGCACGCAAATTGGATAGGGCTACACCCGAATTGCTACATAACGAGCACTCATCATCACAGAAGCAACTCTGCTACTCCATCTCCACGGTTAGACCAATTCGTCGTTATTTTTGAACGGTTTTTACATACTTTATTTAAGCGAAACTTCGAACATGTAATTTAAGACCTCTTATTGTCTTCAACGTGACTGAACCGAATAAAAAGCCACTTTTGGATCGAAAAAATTCGATGGAAGTTGATGAATCTCGAAGCAGCAAGGTTTCTGATGTGCATGCTCTTGATTTTGCTTTGTTTTGAAAAAAGGTGATCTCAGGAGAACCTTTCAGAGTTCAACTGAGCGACAGGCCTCATCAGGTTTTCTAGGATTATTTTACGGTTTCGGTGGTCGCTTTACTGGTCGAAGAAGTACAAGTAAAGACGAGAAGCAAGGAAATCCTCGGAGACCAATGGTACAGATACTACTTTCAGTTGAATATATCGTATTTTTATTCCATGATATTTTCTTTTTCAAAAATTTTATCTGTTTACACTTTTTGGCATTCAGGCTGACCGTCGTGCCAGTTCTCCAGCAGTTTTTGCTCCAAACGAGCCCGTTATCAATAGACAAAATAGTCGAACGTTTCGGAGCTCCGCCCAGCGGTATATGCTCGATATCGCAGATTCATTTAAGAAAGTTGACTCTTCAGAATGCAGTCAAGTGCGTTCTCCACCATCTTCTACTTTTTTGAAAGTTGTTTTTCTCTTCGGCAGGTTTGTAAGTGAAACAAAAATTTGGCTGTTCACATTTCAGAATCCAATAGCGCTTTTGATCTTTTATTCACAACATTTTAATCTTTGCGTAACACTAAATAAAATGTGCTGCCGTATTCAGGTCCACACCAGCCACGATGCCTTACGTTCGTCCTCCACCCGCATTTCTCGTAACTGCCAAGCTCCTGGTCCATCTGTTGGAAAACAGATAAAGACAAAGAACGAGGTAATGCTCCTATTACTCAATTACCTAGAGCGATGCTCCTTTTTAATTCAAGGTGTCTGAGTCATAAAGCATGCTTTTGAATTATTTATTTTCAATTGCAGTTCTGCATGTTTTTTTCCACTCACCCGCTTAAGTATTTATTTATTTGACCTGTGTTCTGACGACTGTTTAAGTACTGATGTGTAAAATTTTAGTTATTATGGAGCAGATAGTTTTGAAACGATCGCAATCATCTTTTGTCGATTTTTTTTATTTTAACAGGATCAATTCGAAGTGAGTAAGTTTTTAAGTGAGTATGCGTTTGTTAATTACTCATGCCGCTCTTAGCATTAGAAGTGGGTTTCGGCGTTGTTTCCCGTGTATTTCCTGTATCGTTTTCTTCACGAATGTCACTGTATGCTGGTCAAGTGGGTAGCCTTGCCAGAGTGTTTCCTCCTGGACTAGAGGGAGTGGACTTGTTCCAGACAAGTCTAGCACTAATTTACCGACCCCGGAAGGATGAGAAGCCTAGTAGGCCAGGAGCTGAGTCGAACCGGCGTATGGGCAGGTTGAGTCGCCCACATAATGGATGGCTTCACTACAATTGTGCTACCCGCTTCCTGAATAAACGGATGAATCATTAAAGCGATTTTATTTGTCAAAGTTATGTCAGAGGCAAGCGGGTCGAGATTCATTTTGAGTTTATGCTATCCGAATATGAAAAAGAAGACATTGATTGGCAGTCTGAAGGAAATGGTTCCGCCCAATAATCTAAAGAAAATAAATCGGTAAATAAGGGCGAAGGTGGTGATCATAGGTTGTTGGTGATGACAGTGCAGAATGTGGTTCGGCTGAATTCCCGATTAGAGTCAATTTGGAGTAATCCAGTTGTCTTAGGTGCATGGAAGCAGTAAATTTTAATGATTAACTTTTGGCTGGTAATTAGGAAGTAATATGAAAAATCAAAGGATATGGACAAGAAACCGATAATTGTTGAAAAAACGAGAAGATATTATGCTATTCGAAAATTAATGCAGGATTTGCAATTTTGTTACAATCTGATAGGAAATTATTGCTGAACTTGTGCAAGAGAATTGAAATTATAAATATATCACTGGTTTCCGAGCCACCTATTTCAATATTATAGTGCATGCTGACAAAGACCAATCTGGTTATTAGATCAACCAAGGCACCAATTCACAGATATTTGGTTGTATTAGTTGATATATCTCCTTTACTGAGAGACTGCTGAAGATCGAAACGAATTTGGTTGACACATGCAGAAGTAAGAAGAGTAAGAGCATAAATCTGTAAGAGGTTATCCAGCAGAAGCGGGGAGAAGGACATTGAAGGTCGAACGAAATAAGAACGATGTTTTTACTTTTTATTTTCTGCCTACTACTACAATTTTTACAGCAGGGTACTGATCGAAATACAACCACACTGTTGCTGAGATATTTGCAAAACTCTGGACCACAGGTGTCTAAGGTGGGGAACGAACGCGCTATTGTTCTTTCCGGGGAGTACGCGTTCGCCACCACACTATGCGGATTCTTCGTATCGCCTGTCTCTCAGCTAGTTCTATTTTTTCCTCACCTTAGACACCTGTGGTCCAGAGTTTTGCAAACATCTCAGCAACATTGTGGAAAAAAGAACGGTTTAATGGTGCTCAAGTGAGAAGATAAACGGAATACCACGGCGAACGGTACGCTATTAAGAAGTCATCGACACGCGGAATGTTTTCAAAATTTGGATAGATGAGTACGAGGTTCACGCGTATTTCGGTTTGTTTCCTGTAAATGGAGTACGTCCATCTTCGGTTGTCCATCGGATGACCTATAAGGTTTTGTTATAGAGAGAAAAAAGTCATTTTCGTTTGTTGCTAACGAAGTTGACAAAAAATGATAAGGAATAAACAGCACTGCTCCTGCTCCTCCTGCTAAGGTTCGCATTCAGACCATCGCTGGATGGAGCCAACGCGATTAATTTTTGTTTGGAATTGCTCAATAGTATGTATAAAGTGAAATTTGTAAAAATCGTAGGTAGTACAAATGTAAATTATGTGAAATCTGTGTAAAATTTCTAGCTTATGAGAGTTGCACGGGCAGGTTGTTCACTTAGAATACAAATAGATTTTTTGTAAATAAAGGATAAAGGATAAAGCTCTCGGCGTTGATCCATCCGTGAGGGTTGCGCCATGTATTCGACTTCACTAAGTATCGTCGGAGATGATTGAATGCATTGACTGGCGGTGGCCTGCTGATATATCGAGCCAGTGCTGCTATCCTCCCAGACAAGTCTGGTACCATGTCAGAGCCCGGAGGGATTGAAAGCTTGGTGGGCCAGGGGCGCGGGAATCGATCCCACGTGTGTGTCGCAGTGCCGCATCTAACCACTGCGCCATAACGCCCTTAACGAACTTTCGTGTCATCCTTGCGCAGAGGCCATGCCAATCTTCTGTGTATTGTTCCAATTTTAGTGTTTGTTCATGAACGAGCATTTGTCGTAAGCACTATAAATTTCAAAGCAAATTTGTTTTGAAATGAAATGATGTAGTATAAAATAATATAATTGAAACTAACCCATACGACTTACTTCAAGACTAGATTTAGGTGGCAGTAAAACTTTCGTATATTTTGAATTTCATTGACGTCGAACTTGCGGCGGATACGTCGATACCCGCATGGGGTTTGAGATGCATAGACTCATTGGACAAGCGTTTTTTTCTAAATTGCTAATTTTAGAGAATAGCTTTTTACGGCGTACGCAGTACATGAAATCTATGTTGGATAAGCTGTCAGTTCAATACAAAATATATGGCAAAACTGATCTGCGTGGTAAAATAAGCGGGAACGAATTGTTCAGATCAATGCGTGCCCTCCGGTTTGTTTCCAGGGCATTTAACATGTTAAAATATATGTTAGAGCGATGGTGCTACACCAAAGTTCCTTTTACAACTCTTTGATTCAACGACAGGTATCGATGGTTACGTACTTCCAGCCTTTTGGACAATGCTCTCGCCACATTTATGGATCGTCATTCCCACGACGAGATTCCGTTACAGAGTCCTCCGAATCTTCCCCGTTGAGAACCAATAAGGTTGAGTTTTCACCCTTTTACGTTTTCATTATTTAAGTGGCAAGACGTGACATACTGTGTAGCTCGCTGAACATCTTCCACACAATTCGTTGCATAGAACGTGTCATTCGCGAAAGCCTGCGCGATTGAGTGTGGGCTCACTTAGTTGCCAGTTTTATGGATCGGAAGGAGCTTTTTACGAACAATTCTTGCACCAGTTTCTCATGCCCGGAGTAAAGGGAGGATTGAGTGGCCCAGAGGTGAGTCTAACTAGCGACTGTGTTCTACGACATCCATAAAAGGATAAAACCGTCGTCGTTGACCAAGACCGTCTTCACATATAATGTGTGGAACCCACAACTCCGTTCGATTACTTTCCTTGAATCTATCATCTACAACGTTTTTTGGATTTCGCGTGTGGATTTGGCTGCTGCATGAAGATACTTGGTTTTTTTAAAATAAATGTGGTTGAGTGCTGTTTGAGCCAATTCTCACCGTTGGAAACA